TGTCAACATGCCATCTCTTTCCTGTTCACCTGAAATCTAGGAGTGAACCAAAATGAATTCTTAAGGCAGTGATGAACCCGGCCTGTTTGGATTGGAGGATTTTCAAAGGAAAATCGTAGGAACCAAGAAACGGAGGAAAGGAAACCTCTGAGTGTGTTTGGAATGGAGGAATTGAGATTTCCTTTCCTTTGGATTCCTATAGCTAGATGCCGATTTCACGGGAAGAAAAGAATCCACTCCAATCCCTTGTTTTCTTTTCCTTCGTGATTGCTCGAGCAAATGAGTGATTGATGGTGGCAGGTGTCATCTGGGAGCATAGCATCATGAGCATGGACCACAGCGACGAAGTGGAGGGAAAAAAGAGCAGTTACAATTCCGTGCCTAATAGATATAGTAATTAGTACCCATATTTGTCTAACATGTTATAATTCCTATGTTATAAATTCCTGTGTTCCAAACAACCTAAATTTTCTGTTCCTGTGTTTTGAAATCCCGTAGTTTTTCATTTTTCATCATACCTTATTCCTGCGTTTTTTTCTATTCCTGCGTTTTGGATTCCTTCGTTCCAAACAGGCCCTTATTTGTGTTTCCCTCGTTAAAGGCTACTCCACTTCTTGATGTATCACTTCATCCCTACAACCCTTCTCTGCGTTGATATGGATTCTGTGGGTGTGCTAGTTCAAAATATAACATTATGGCTGTAAGAGGCTTAATTGTATCTCTCTCTGGATTGATGAACTAGTTAAATCAGTCTCATACATACATTTGTGCAAAACATGTTCTTTTGTTTGATATATATGATGGTGATTCTGAAACCATTAGTTAGCATTATTATTATTTGAAATGCAAATGATAAGCTATAGCGATCCATGCTGCCTACAATACAAAATAGTGATTTTGAATAGATTGCCCTTAACTAGACTTCTGATATAGTATATGGTGGTGGATGTGTAATGTGTTGGCAGGAGATACGGCCAGGCATGTTCTCAAAGATGCCTTGGAGGACCTGATGTTGGTATACATGTAAGAGAGAGTACATTTGTCACTGCAGTGGTTGATTTTTCGAGATTGCAAACCAGCAGAAGCCAAGATCATATTGTTTTTCAGAATTTTCTGGCTTTTAAGTATTTATTTAGTTGAAGTATGTGTGATGGATTGTAATTTTGTACTCGTCTAGAAAAGCAAGCTTTTCAGTGACTCGTGGACGCACGGTGCTTTCTTGTGGCCACGCGGGCTGCCACCTAGCCCGCAAAAGCAGCTCTCTAGCGGTTCGTGGGGATGCTGGAGCGGGATGGCCCACCGCTGGTGCTGATGTGTCGGGTTGGGGACCTTAAAATGAATCGAGCAATTAACTTTTTTAAGAAAGCCAAATTATATCGTGGTGAAGCTTCCTCTTGCCTATGGTATTAATTATTTTGCTGTTTTCCTTGTTTTTTATTCCTGGTTAGAAAATGACACACCGTGTCTTGCTGCAAGTGTTTCATCGTGTGTTTGCATGGCAAAGCCTTTCTCGACCAAAATTTTCCAATCTGAAGGTGAAAGGTTTGTTGCAGGCGGTGATTTTGTTGGGCAGTCGTAATGCAATGCGGTTTCAAGAACAACACAGAACTCAAGATATATAATTCATGTCAGATACTGATGAAATTTGGAAGGCCCATGATTATCCCTAATCATCCAGTGATACCTACAGAGCGGCAGTCTTTAGTCTTTTAAATTTACATGTTACAGATGGCGACGCGAAAATGAAGTTGAATTTGACTTTGTTGATGACTATATATATTTGATTAAATGCTGCCTCATTTTTCCTGTAGGTATGACTGGATGATCAATCGTTAATAGGACGCTCTCGATTGTTGTAGACTGCAGAATTATTCTGTTCTCAGAGCACCATCTAGTCTAGCTGCTGAAATTACTCACCAGCCGATTCCACGGCGGCGTGCGACATCCAACTGGCCTCTCCCACCGCCCCGACGGGGCAGCGTCCCCAGTCCCCACCACCTCGCTGCCAGTCCAGCAAAGTTAATCTCGTCGGAAGCCCTCTTGGCAAGTTAAAGTGATTATTTTGGTAGAATTTTTAGGTAGAGTTGGTGTAAGTAATAATTCACCTGGTTCTTACAACATATTTAATCTGGTGTGGAACCCCTAAAACACCCGTTTTTTTCTTATAGTATCCTTCACAACAAATTTAATGGAGGGAAGCTTCTCACATGTAAATAATTCCTTAAGGTCTTGTTTGATGCGTATGTATTTATCTCAATCTACATGTGTTGAAGTAGATTGGAGTGGAATTGAACTAAATTACATTCAATTATATTCCAACACATGTGGATTGAGATGGATACACACGTTTTCAAACAAAGCCTAAGGTGTGTTCGGTTGTTAGATGGGGTTTGTATTGTAAATCCAGGACGAGGGGATGTATGTTAATTGGAATCACATTTCGGAAAAGAAAGTGTTTGGTTTTCTGCATGATGAGGGAGTTCAACCTGCCTAGTTTGCGATACTGGCCTATTAGTCCATCACTTTTATCTTGCATCCATTCAGCCAGATACTCGGTTCGAGCGTATCCCGCAAGCCCATATCCACCCATGCTATTGCATTAGTCAACCAAACATGTTTTCGGACAGCTCTATATGAGTTTGCACGTGTAAGAAACCAAACACGCCTTCTCAAACACACCCAATTCTCTATCATATATGTGTGTATGGTCTCAGTATCATGGATTCAAAATTTATGAGTTGAAGGATCTACAAAAATTTGGAGCTGTCAAGGAAGAGCTACATTTTGCTATAAATGATGTTCACGTGCTAGTTGAATAGTCGATAAGTGAAACAGATTCATTAGTGAGAAAAATGTAGAGATTAAGGGTTGCTGATTTTAGTGTGCATGGCTCATCACTGACCCGGTGTACATGTCTACGAAAATTACATGACGCATGCTGTCGTACCAACATGTATCTTTGCATGGGTTAATTAAATTGTCATATGATATATAGAACGACACTACTAGCGGCCGAACGTCCGGACAGACGCCCGTGACTGCAGTCTGTTTCTACGAGGAAACTGTGCCCCCACTTCGCGCCTCTGTTCGCCCGCACCCCCTATGCGTTCCGCCCGCACCCCCTCCGCTTGCTACACCTGCATGCCGCGCGGGGATTGCCTGTGCCCCTACCGCCATTGCCCTGCGCTTCCCGCACCCGCTATTGAGCAGCGCTCGATCCCTCCGCTCCCCCACGCGCATGCACGACGTCCAAGCAGCTACAACATGCGGTTGTGACAGGTGAGTCACTTTGCAACATTTACAACATCCCGATCTACTTTTGAAACATCTAGATGAAACACTTGCAACATTCGTACGAAATAGCTGAAACACTTGCAACAAGGGTCTGAAACACTTGCAAAAGCATACGAAAACTCTTGAAAACCATTACAAACATATGCAACGTCCAGATAAAATAGTTGTAACATACGTGTGAAACATATATAACATTGAGATGAAACACTTGTAATGAACGTCTCAAAAAACAGATGAAACATTTAGAACATACACTTGAAACAGACATATATAGTCATTGCAACATGTGCAACATCACGATCTACTTTTGCAACATCAAGATGAAACACTTGCAACATCCAAATGAAACATCTGAAACACTTGAAACGTAAGCTTGCAACATGCACCGTGCAATGTCATCTGTCAGCTTGGACGAGGTACCCGAGCAGCGTGGGCACGCCGACGAAAGAGAGCGTCGCGACGGCCAGGAGCTTCCACACGCCGAGGTCAAGGTCCCCGCCTAGGAGGTTCGCATGATGAGTGCCCGGAGGTGATCGTCGTTGTCGTCCCCCGCGCCGCCGAAGACGTCCGACTCGTCGACCACGCCAGCGTCGGCTAGTTCTGGAGGAGTCGGTGTGGCGTGGCGAGGTTCTGGAGAAGGAGTGGGCGCGGCGTGGTGGCAGATGCGGCGCGGAGAGGGATGGGAGTGCTAGGTGGAGTGGGACGGGGGCACCCGATGTGTTGAAGCCGCAACGGCAAAACGAGTGGGGATTTCCATCGGTGGGGTTATGTCGCTGTGTAGAGATGGAGAGAGGATAGAAGGAAACAAGTTGATTACTGTTGGGCCTGATTCGCTGCTCAGGCCTAGGAACGGGGCGCGTTCGGATGCCCTAATCATAGCATTAGCGTAATAGAAATTGACGTAATAAAATTTTCATCATCATCATCATCATCATTATTATTATTTTTTTCTATCATCTATAAATTTTTTTTCATAGACACAGTCTACTAGTAGCACGATATATATTTCTAGAACAACCATGTGTTTTATGTAGTTTCAACACATGGATTTTTTGCACCATAGAATTAAGATCCAACAGCCTCCATCCTCCTTCTACCTCCAAACAATCATAAATCACAAGATCACAGATCCACGGATCACAAAAACATTTTTTTTTCTATGGAAAGACAAATCACAAATCGTAGAGGAAGAGTTACCTGGAGCCAGGAGCGGCGCGTAGCGGCGGTGCTCCTGCCGTCATGTCAAAGCTCCTGTGGCTCCGTCACAGGGTCCCCCCGCTCTCTCCGTCAGGCGTCAGCCCACAGGGCGGTGCGCGGAGGACCCCAGCGATCGGACAGGAGGAAACGACACACACGAGGGCACGAGTCGAGACCGACCTGAGGGGCGAGCTCGCCGGAGCCGGTGATCACCGGTGAAAAAAGAGAGAAAAAATTTATGTGTTTTTTCTCCTAAAACACATGTGTGTTGTATAGCATTTCTGTATTTCTATTGTGGAAAAATCAAAGATGCCAACTAATGTTTTTTGAACATATAGATAGACAAAAAAAATCAATTTCAAGATGCGGCGATGCAATCTTCCAAAATACTCAATCCCCAACAGATCGAATCCCACGTATCCTACGTTTTCGCTACGTGCGTTACGTTCGTGCATGCCTGCCACCATTGACGGCGACGACGACGACGGCATTGGCACCGCCGTCCATCCATGCCGTTCAACTTCGACAGACCCAGCAAGATCGTCGGACTCAACTACGACGACGACCATGTACTCCACGCCCCGGCCCTCCGGTTCGCTGTCACGCCGAACCCTTTCGGCGCCGGCACCAGCCAAAAGGACACGGAGGACGGCCGCCGGCTCATCGCGGCCGTCGGCGCCGCCCTCGCGCGGCGCGCCAACAGCGGCAGCGGCAGCGACCTGGAGGAGCTCGAGATCAACTTCGTCTACAGCTCCCCCCGGAACAGGTACATCGACATGGCGTCCGGGGGCTTGTACCTGTTCAGGCAAGGCCACGCTGCCGACATCACGTCGGAGCACGTCGCCGCTTGGCTGCGGTTCGGCGAGCGCCGCGTTACCGGGCGCTTCACGCTCGCCGTTCCCGTGCCGCCGCGGCACGCGAAGACGACGAAGACAGCGGCCGTGGGGGTGCCTGTGCCTGTGCCTGTGCCTGAGAGGAAGAAGCTCTTATCCGCCGCGATGCCGGCCTCGGCGAGAGCCGAGACGATGAGCCTCACCTTGGGCAACGCGACCCTCACCGTCCCACCGGTCGCCGGCGCCGGCGCCTTCGCCGCGCTCACTGACCTCCTGCTCAGCCACGCGCGGATCGAGCCAAACGGGAACGGCACCGACGTCGAAGACGAGCGCAACCTCGGGCGCCTGCTGTCGGCGTCCTGCTGCCCCCGCCTGCGTCGGCTCCGTCTCGCGCACATCGCGGGGCTCTCCGCGCTCCGCTGCGCCGCCCCCGCCCCCGAGTCCGCGACGCTCGAGGAGGTCCGGCTAGAGCACGTCAGCGACATGGCGTCGCTGGAGCTGGACGCGCCGGGCCTCCGAGCGCTGCACGTCGCCGACTGCTACAGGTTGGCGTCCGACGACGCGGCGGTGGCGATCTCGGCGCCGAGGCTCGAGACGCTGGCGTGCGCGGACATGTGCCGCCCGGAGCGCCTGCGGTTCGACGGCGCGGAGACCGTCTGGCGCCTGGATAAGATCTTCCTCTGGTCGCACGGCCACCCCGCCGGCTACAGCAACGCCGGCGCCGTGTGGCTCCTGCGGAACTGCACCGCCGCCCACAGCCTCGGCGTGCACATATCGCCGCCCGTGGTATGCATATATATATATTCTGAATTAGGATTGTAATCACGTCAAATTTTTACGTTGAATCCATTAAAAACGATCTTGTAGCACTAATTGTAGCGCTAACCTTTTGATTTCTCTTTGTTGCACCTTAAATCTTGGATCTGGAGGCAAAGAACTGGAGGGATATGGAGGAGATGATGAGCCCAGTGCCACAGCTTCCTAGAATTACCAACTTGACCATAGATGCGCAGTGGCAGCACCTTGAATCAAGCATTGCCAAACTCATTGCAAAATGTACTAGAATCGAACGCCTTTCAATTGACATCTCCAGGCCCGTGAGTCCATTAATCTTTTCTTTATTACTGTATATTATTATGACAATCTGATACTCATCCTTAAGTATAGCTACTTTTCTAAACCAGTTACCTTTTAGTCTGAATTAATCGGTCAGTTTTGATTATTTGCAGTGCGACCCGTGCTCTAATCCTCGTTGTTTCTGCGCTCGAGAAGGCGGTTGGGATGACCAGAAGATCCATCTGGAGCGCCTTAACGAGGTGAAGATCACCGGCTTGCAGCCATCAGATAGCCATTTAAGCCTTGTTCGACGCGTGATTGCGAGCGCACCTGCGCTCAAGAGGTTGACCGTGGAGTTGTACATTGGCAAGGAGCTGGACTGCAGCAGGATCCCTTGCAACAGAGGGCATTGGGCTCCTTGTGTGACAGAACAATCATCCAGAAGGGTCTATAACAAAGTGTATGAATGGACACCGGATGTGGAAGGGCAAGCATAAGGAGGAGGAGGAGAGATGGTCGAATATTCTGTGAAGGGTTTAGGTTTTACAGGGTTTGCATCTATCAGTAATATTGTATGGTAGCTGTTATAATTGTTTTGGTTAGGAAGGATTTGGGTCAGCGGTCAGCCATCGGTGCATACAAAAAGAAATGTTTTGGTTGTCATTGACGCAACTCCTGTATCATGGTCATGGCAGGCTAGATCCGCGGAAGGGGTGGAGCGGTGGGCAGATCCGGTGAGCCGGCATTTGGAGCGGCCGGTCCAACCCCCGTGGAGGCAGCAACTTGGTGAGGATTGCGATGAGCAGATGCCTAGGCGGGTTACTATGAAGGACGACGTGGGGCAAGGTGTGACGGTGGTGTAGCCGTGCAGTGAAGCAACATCTGTAGCATTCTGTGTGGTGGAGTGCTTCGGCGGCCCTTCAGCGCCAGTACATGTGGCTAATCACTGATGGCGGTAGGGCTCGCACGCTGAACTTAGCTCGTGTGCATGGTGGAGTGGTGTAGGAGTGCCTAGGTGTTGAGCCAATTGGTGGCAGGGGCGCAGCTGCACTGTGACTAGGGGTTCAAATGCACACCTCCCCACCCCCTCACCAATTTTGAAAATTCAATTATAATGACTAAAATCCCACCATATATGCATCCTCCATAACATAAGTCTATACACCCACAAGACAAGTGTACCCCCTTCGATCTCCTCTAGCTTCGCCACTGCTTGGTGGCACACTGTATTGTAGGCAGCTGGGCATGAAGGCACGACGGTGCTAGTGGTGATTGCACGTGGAAGTGCTGGAGCATGGCGGTGGTAGCTAGCTGCCTAGCTACGGTGCCAGATGTGTTGGATAACCGTGGCTTGACAAGGGCAACTGGCCTGTGTGGCGTGGTGGAGCAGCCAGCAGTGGTCGTAGGTGTGGTGACAGCGGTGTGCAGCCTTAGTGATGGTGTCGCACAATAAGAGTGCAAGACAGTGACAATGGTCAGTTCACAAATGCAGGGGCTGCTTAGTTTGCTCCTCCTAGGAGCCGCCTAGCCCAGCCAGCGTTCCTAAGCGTTCGATTTCGGACGCCTGGGGTGGCTGTGATGGTTGCCTCTGGCCGATGGTACCCAGGCGAGGTACGCAACCAAATAGGCCCGTAGTCAAAGGTTGTTGCCGTAGTTGTGATGCAGAGGGAGGAGACCAAGTCAACGACTCGAGATGTGGGTGTCCTTGGTGGAAGAAGACGAATAGATACAGGCGTTGACACAATGATGAGGGCATGGATTCTAGTTGGTAGTGGGAGGACGGCGGTTTGGTGGGACCCATATGCGTCAGCAATGACAACGAAGTAAATAAGGAGGCCGGCGTCGAAGGAGGTGGCCAGTGGAAGTGCGTTGCCAAAGTGACCTGTACGTGTGGTGTGGTAGTGGGGTGGTTCTGCTTAGCAATGGCATTCTGGTGCATGGAGGCTTTTCTAATGGCTGTTGGAAAACCTAAGAGATCCTTCCACTATCTTCGAAGAGGCGATTGGGTTATCAAGAGCTATAATGTTCGTAGTCGGAACTCGGTTGTCATGGTTAGCGTAGCGGAAGACCTAAGGCAGTGACTCATGTTTTTGGGCTTTGCTACTTGCAACGAACTATGGCAACTAGCCGTGCATGGTAGGGGCTAGTCCGGCGGTCAACGCCAAGAGGTGGTGCAAGTGGATGCAAAATCATCATGGCTACACGTCATACAATGTATCGTGGTGACTAGCCCTGCATAACGGGGCTAGTTTGGTCCTTGACATGGTCCACGATGACAGTGTGAGCAGTGACGATGACTTTTTGACTTGGCGGTTTCAATCGTCTGGCGATGACGATGCAATGTGATGTGTGGCTAGCAATGATGTGAAGCTTGCAGATGGCTCATTTATACTAATGTAGTTGCCTAGTTGGTGAGCCTGTGACAGTTTTGTGCGTCACGTGTGAAAATTCCATTTCAACCGGCAACGATTGATAAACTCCATTTCAATCGGCTATGGCTGATAGAGTTTTGATTTGTTGCTTTGTTGTTGTTATTGGTTGTTTTAGTCTATAATAGTTTTTGTTGTGTTACTTCTTGTTAATATAATTATCAGAATATAATTGACAGCTATTCAATATGATCCGTTTAAAAAAAAATAAAAACTCTGGTACGTCGCCGCGGTTTGCAAGTGCATCTCGGGCCGCCGGCGACGCGCTGCCCCCGCGAGAACGGCGGCTTCGCAAACATGGCCTTTGTCGCGCGCACCGCGTCGTCGCCTCCATGTCTGGCGACTGATCCACGCCGATGACTACTCAATGCGCACGAAGAGTACACGAGAGAAAGAGGGAGCGCCACGTCCGTGTCCGCCAGCAAGGGATTAGGCTAACTCGGTCAACGGCAAAATTAAGGCTGGGGCCGATTTTGTATGCAGAGAAAATGATCATATATACATAGTTAAAAAAAAACCCAAAGTCATACTAGCTAGCTAGCTAGCGTCGGAATCATGATTGATAAAAGGCAAAGTGGCGAGAATCATCATGATTGATAAAAGGCAAAGTGGCGAGAATCCCAGTTGCACATTCATTCTAGTGGAGCCTAACTTTGAATCTTTGATAAGCGGCGTCCGTCGACCGACCACTGTGGAAGTGGAAGATAGGGGAAGGGGATGCGCACTCCTGCTGCATGAAGCGTGAGGTTGATGCTGTCGGCTGTCGCATCATCGGCCGCGATTCCACTGAATGAGTGTGTGGTTCCATATGGACAGCACATGCAAAGAAACGGTTCTATGCGGAATTATTGCGGATCGTCTGTCGCACGTACACTGGGTATAGGCAGCCGCTGACCAGCCGACCTGCGATGCTACATTTTGCATTTGTATGTCCTCGACCTACAGCCGCAGGCATATTTCTTATTGCTGATCATTATAAAACTCATTGCGTTACAGCATGTTTTTCCGATTCCACTGAATCAACGGTTTGGAGAACCAACATACAGGGGGCTAGCACCTAGCAGGAACGTGCTACGGCGCTGATCTATTGCGATGTTCATTTTTCGAGAACGACAACATTCTCATAAACGTGTGCCCTGGACCGAAAGGGACGACGATGATCGAGGATCATCAGATGGCGTCGTCGTGGGTGGGCATCCAGTACCTGTTAGTCAACCAGACGCCATCGGCGACGACCTTAGCGCCGTCATGGTTCCGGTGCCACGAGTAGTACGCGTGCGTCCGGTTCCTGATCTCCAACGTCGCATGCCCGAAACTCGCCTCCCGGAACGCCGAGTACCCCGGCTGCGGGCGCGTGAAGTTATCCGCAACCCCCTCAATATTGCCGCCGTCCCCAATGGTCACGTACACCGGCGCGTCGGCGTTCCTCACCGGCGTGGCCTTGCCGTTGACGATGTCGTAGGCGACGTTGGACACGCGGTGGCTGCGCTCGTACGAGTGGACGTGGCCGGCCAGCACGACGTCGACCCTGGCGTCGACGAGCCACCGCTCGAACTGCACCCGCATCGTCTCCCCCTCCATGTAGTGGTAGTTGTTGCTGTTGTACCACGGCGAGTGCATCAGCACCACCAGCCACGGCGTGGTGGTCCGGTCCACGCGCTGCTGCAGCTCCGCCTGCAGCCACGTCCACTGCGGCGTGTACTTGCCGTAGGCCGAGTAGGAGGCGAGCACGACGACGTGCGCGGAGGCGATCTTTACCGAGTACCAGAACGGCTCCGTGCTGCCCGCGGCGCGGTACGGCGTCGGGTACCGGTGCGTGAACGGCTTGAAGGGGGTCGTCTCGCCCAGCTCCGGCGCGAAGTCCAGCTCGTGGTTCCCCGCCGTCCAGATCCACGGCTGGTACGCCGCGCTGCGCTCCACGAAGCGTGCCCATGTGTCCCACCGGTTGTTGTCGTGGAGCGGGTGGTTGTCGGCGTAGGAGAGGTCGCCGACGTACAGCACGGCGTCGCCGCCGTTGGCCTCGTAGTGTGAGAGCGTGGTGTTGGAGTCGAACGTCTGCCCGAGGTCGCCTGCGTTGCATTGCATTCATTATTCATTAGTCAGTCAGTCAGTCAGTCATGGGCCGGCCGGGTCAGCAGAGTCAGAGTCGTCGGCGGCAGCATCGTCAGTTGTCAGGCACGAGATCAATGATATGATAGACGTAGAGGATTTAATGAATTTGGTGCTAGTACGTCGTTTACTACTCCTACATTGGTAGGATTAGAAAAGTGGCAAATTTGAACACAGTTTCTACGAGGTTTGTGAGTCATCCCCCGGTCAACACGGCACTCAGGCTTGATTGCGTGCATTATTGCAGCTGACGTCCAGATGGCAACGGGCGGCAATAATGACACTATGAGTACAGTGGTAGCAAAGATTCCCTTTTTGTAAGATAATATAAAATCATGGCTGGCATTGAGACATTCGTATAATCTACAGGATTTCAATTCAATGAATTGGTATAGTACTACAGTAGTACGTACACGTACTCCTAGTTTGGTAGAATTAAAAAAAGAGCCAAATCTGAACACACATTTTTTTACAAGGTTTGTGAATCCCTGCTCGAGTGCTCTACACGGCATGGAAACTTGATTCCACATTGCGATTAACGTCCAGATGGCAACAGCCGACAATGGCACTACCATTACAGTGGTAGCAAGATTCTTGTTTTTTTTTCCAGATAAAATCATGGTCGGGATTGGGACATTGGTATATATAATATACTAATCTGGAGTGGTAAATAAATTAGTGGTATTTTATGGGACATTGACCATTGGATGCTTGGGGAACTCGTTTATGGGAGGGATCTCATCGAATCCAGATTCCAGCTAGTACGTAGGACTATTCAAACAACCTCGTTTATGTCGACCTGAGCTGTAATTTTCTACTACTACTCCCTAGGTTGAAAAAATGTCATTCTCATCCTTTTAGAAATCAACCAATGTCAAATTTTATTACATATATATATATAAAGAAGTAAACAAATAATATTTATTATAATTGATAAGTATAGTTGTATAAATAATGAA